GCAATACTAAGAGGAAAGCAGTGGCAGTCTTCCAGAGGAAGTAAGCAAGTCCTACTCTGCCCTGTATGGCAAGATCTAGTCCAGTTTTTTTGTCCATTTGAGACCAACTAATCCTGATAAAGCCAGATAGAGTAATATAGTCTTCTGGGTCTCTTTGTGGAACTCCACACCCAGTCCTGTATGCACAAGGGTGGGTTTCGCTTCCGAGATTGTGTTTCCTGTTTCTTTACAGTTTCACTACTGCATGTGTATGCCAAATTTAATCAGATGAACTCATGCATTCCTTCCTCGTTCGATCACTGGCACATTACATCACCAAGACCTTGCATACAATCATGTCTTGTCTGTTTTTCCACCAGTTCTTGGGTCAACTAATAAAAAAATCCAATCAGAATTCCTCTCTTGGGCTTTCATTGCCATGTAATTTCTTTTTCATTCAGCTTTAAGTCTGCTAAGCCGTATCTGTCTTGCCAAGTTGTGGTGGTCATTGAAAGCTTTTAGACTTATTAAATCATATTTGAATCATGAAGTTACCCAGCCTTCTAAGTCTCTGAGGAACCTTGACCCTGTATGATTACAGAATCCACTGCTGTGGCCATAAATCTGTATCTGCTAAAACAAATCATGTCTGTGGCGGTGGTTACGTAACGGCACTAAAGTGCTGCTTGTGATTTTGGCATCTGTAAGCTTGTTCTGCTTTGCTCCTCTACAGTGCTCGCCCCAGGACACACCCTGTGCTTAACAGCTCTGCTCATTCCAACCTTTTGAACCCAACCTAAGACTGTAAAGAAGCAGATTTAGCTATATGTGAATGCCTTGACTAGGCCTGTCGCAATAATCAATACATCAACTTATCGCGCAATATATGTACATGACCTCAATCATTTTTGGTGACGCAATATATCGCCCAATATATTTACTTAAAAATTAATGTCACCATGTTTTGTACATTCCACTTGTGCTTGTGTCTTTTGCAGCTTCTTGTACATAACGTGGTGTAATCATGAGGTGCTGCTAGTACAAATTTAAAAAATGCTTCTACAAAAAAAAGTTTAATCTGCAGATATGATCTTGTTTAGGGATCTGTGCCTTTGTGCATACGGACATCTGACTGCTAAGTAGTGATTGTGTTTTTCAGCAATAGTGCGCACCCTTCATTTACAGAGAAAAGAAGGTCCGGGAAAAATCTCCATACAAGTTCTTTGTGCAGTTTTCTTTTTTTCTACTTGTTACTTTGCACTTTTTGTTAGAAAATGTTTATTTACTATTTATTTAGGTTTTTTAAGGTATCTAATATTTTGATACTTAATTCCCATGATTTAAATATTCTTAAAAATGTAAAGTTTGTTGTCATTTGGAAGTGTGTAGGCCTTCTTGCATTATTATACTGTTACATTATGATTATATATTCAGTGGCATAAAATAATCTTTAAAATGACAATAATATCACTTATCACAATTATTTCTGGGTCAATATATCGCACAACAAAAAGTTGTTATCGTGACAGGCCTAGCCTTGACCAGCCCTCTCTGATAACTTTTTTTTGGAGAAACCAAGTTGCAGTGGATGCATTCCCATGAGATACCATTGTTTGACTTACCACTTATGGTAATGGCTCTTGAACCTGTAATTGCTTGTTCGGTTAAAACTGTCTGTCATATTGTGTAGTCTAGAGATTTGAGTTTTGGGCTGATCGCCGAAAGTTCCAGACCCCACAAGGGGCAAAACCAATGTGCCCTTGTGAAAGGCACTTGACCTTTGGTTACTCCGGGGGTGGGGGGGGGGACTGTCCTTGTAATGCATTGCAGGTCTCCTTGAATGAAAGCAACTACTGAATGACCAATTTGTAAATTAAAAATGGACAAAGATGTGCTGTTTTAAATGAGGGTTGTCTATCTCCTGGCCTCCACTCCCGGAGGTGAGACATTACATAATCCTCAGGATGTAAGTCTTTAATTGGTGCCAGTAAGCCGCTGTGTTTCTACAGCCAAATCGATTGGCTCAACATTTCTCTGTGCTGTGGGAAGGAAGATGAATGAGCCTTTGGCTGGTGGGAAAGTCTCCAGCTGTTTCTCCAAACATATCTTGGATCCTGCTGACAGTATATGGTACAGATAATTGTGTGAACAAAAGACAATTTTTTGCAAAGCTCTGTTGGAAACTTGCCTTGGTTTAAGCCGCTGTGTTTCTACAGCCAAATCGATTGGCTCAACATTTCTCTGTGCTGTGGGAAGGAAGATGAATGAGCCTTTGGCTGGTGGGAAAGTCTCCAGCTGTTTCTCCAAACATATCTTGGATCCTGCTGACAGTATATGGTACAGATAACAAAAGAAACAAAAGACAATTTTTTGCAAAGCTCTGTTGGAAACTTGCCTTGGTTTTCTTGTTTCCTTTTTTTTTTTTTTTTTTAAGATGACTGTGCTTGTTTATTAGTGTTTTTTCTTCATACTTGAGTTGGTGGTGGTAAAACCTTGTGGTTAAACATCTGGGCTAGTAACCGAAAGTTGCAAGTTCAAATCCATCATGTTTTTTTTTTTTTTGAGCAAGGCACTTAACCATAATTTTGATTTAAGGGGAATGAATATTAAGGAACTTAAAATGGAAACATTGCTTTGAAAATCATTCTTTGCTCCTCAAAAAAATCAACCTACTTATGGTAGAGTTATCAAGTCTAATGATTTTGTTACATTGAAGCAGTGGACCAATACACAAGACCTCTGGAAGTTAAGGGTTTGCATATGCGAGTATGTGGTGTTTGTGTGGGTCAATGGAGCCTGATACTTTCCATTGAGACACACTGGGAGACCAGGATCTCAGCAGAACACTAACCCTCTTTTTATGCAACCCAGCCTGCATCATACACAGTGAATTAAGCGCATGCATAATGCAAAACTCAATTAAAGCGTACACAAAGAACCTGTTCCTTGACATGCGTTAGGCAAGGGATGGTGTATTGGCCCCTTTTAGTTTCTGAGGCATTTCATTACAAAACTCACTTCCCTTGATCCAATAACATCATTTTGGGTACACAAACATACCTGAATTGGACTTTCTCATACATGTGAACAAAACGCAAACAAACCTGAATTGGACTTCCTCATACATGTGATCAAAACAATCTTGTCCATGACATCAATTTCGCCTTGACTTTGTAGATGTAACCCATCATGTTACAGGTTGCCCACGTGTACACTCTCCACTGCAAGGTTTTCTTTCTTTAAAAACACATGACAAAAGCCAACACAGTCTCATCTGCCGCTTTACTTTCACTCCCACATCCACACACAAAGGCCCTGACCCAGTTACTTGTATTCATGGGCAGGTAATGGTTTACTCCGGATGAAAGCAGACCACCTGAGAGCCAGTTTGAAATCAGTGTTTGTGTTCCCCTTCTTTGCTCATAACATGACTTGATGTTCTTGTTTA